CTCCCATTTTTACCCCATATACATATTGTAGATTCACATCGGTTACACATCCACTTTTTTACCTACTGCCATACTAGTGTATGTTGTATTCTGCTGCCTTTCCTATCCTCTACTATCCCCCCTCCCCTCCCCTCCCTTCCCTTCCCATCTTCTCTTTACCACTCTTTTTAGATGTTTTTCATTGAAAAACTGAGGAGTTAATATATTTTTTTTCCTTCATCTTTCTCTATTTCCTGAAGACATTATTGTTGTATCACATCTCACCTTTTAATTTTTTTAATCCTCTTTTTGAACTTATTCACCACATTGGTATCTTTTGGTTGAATAATTTCAGTGTTTTAGAATGAACTCATTAATTATTTTCACAAAGTTATTTTGAAAATAACTTGAATTTTGTGTCACTTCGGCGTATTAGATTTTCAGGAAATATCCAAGATTCTACTATACTAGGACTTACCATTTGTGTTTGTTTTCTATTGACTTCTCTTTAAGTGTTAACTTCTGTTTTATTTAAGCTAGGTATTTTATTTTAGAACTCTCCCCACTAAAGTTTAGTAAAGAAGTGGTAAAAAGTATTATTTGAATCCTAGAATGTCATTTTATGGAAATACTTAACTTGTTGCTATGATAAGTTCTAACCAGTCTTTTGGCTAAATCTTATAGTTAGGATCTGTGGTGTAATCTCTTTTGACATGTAAAATGCAATTATCCAAAGACTGCTGATAACATGGGGGGCTGGTGGCACAGGTATTTTGTTTTCAAAAGAACAACTAGATGTGAATGCATTTTGTCCCTGAAGACAGTGCACTTTTAGATTAGATGCTCCTTTCAAAAAAATCTCAGCTGACATAACTGAAGAAATTGTAATGGGGAGTTTCTGAAGAAAGGTTATTATGTTTTTATCACTATAGTAGTGGGACACCCTAAAGATAAAGAAATGTGATGAATAAATAAAATAAAATGCATAACGAAGTTGAGGCTGTCAGGATGGTGGAATATAGGTCAAGATTTAAAGGTATTATTTTTCTTTTAGGGAAAATGATAATTACAACAAATTATCATATCACAGACTTCGCCACATTGCACATATATTACAAAAATATTTCAGTACTTTTGCATTTGATTTTAGTTAGACAAGAATGATAATCTTATAGTTGGGAATATGTGGCAGTACCAGTTACTCTGATGTCAATAAGTATAGTTTAGTTCTAAATAGCTCAATAAGTATTAAACCCACTTATTGAATCCCATGCACTTTGTTTATTTAAGAGTTCCTTTAGACTCTTACTCAGCTTATTTTGTGGTAAAATACACATATTGTGAAGTTTATCATATTAATCATTTTTAATTTTATATCTCAGTAGCATTAAACACATTCTGCAAACCATCTCCACTATCTATCTTCAGAACTTCTTCATCAACTCAAACTGAAACTGTATCCATTGAGCAATAATTCCTACTACTCTGTTCTCTCACGCTACCTTCAGCCTCTAGTGTCCAGTGTTCTACTTTCTGTCTATATTATGAATTTATCTATTTCAGGTACTTCATTTCACATAAGTGGACTTATATAATTTTTATTCTATGTGGCTTATTTTACTTCTCAAAGATTGACTCATTCATGTTGTTGGATGTATCAGAATTTTACTCCTTTTTAAGACTACACAGTGTTCCATTGTACATACCAGATTTTGTTAATTATCTTTTGAGGGATGTTTGGATTATTTTCACCTTTTAAAAGGCTACTACTGTGAATAAGTCTGCTGTTATCATTGGTGTACAAATCTGTTTTAGCCCCTGCTTTCAATTTTTTGTTTTGGGTATATATATCTAGAAGTAGAATTGCTGGGTCACATCCTAATTCTTGGTTGTAGTATTTTGAGGAACCACCCTATTATTTTTTGACAGTAGCTGCATCATTTTACATTCTTAACCAGCAAGGCACAAAGGTTCCAATTTCTCTACATCCTTTTTAACACTTGTTACTTTTCGTTTTATTGTTTATTTTTTTGTTTTATAATAGCCATCCTAAAGAGTGTTTACTTAGTTTATTTACTTTTTTTTTTTTTTTAACTCTGATACAGTTAAACTAAGATGGACACACGAGCATGCATGTACTTTGGTACTGGTGATTGAACCCAGGGCCTTGTTTAAGCAAATGCTTTATTGCTGAGGTACATCTGCAGCCTTTTGAAAAATATACATTTTGAGACAGGATTTTGCTAAATTGCTCAGTCTGACTTTGAATTTGTAATTTCTTGCCTTATCCTTAGTAGCTGGGATTATACCCATGTGCCACTGAACCCATCCAAGATGGATATTTGATTCTTCTGATGTAGGAATTTAGAGCAAATTAGAAAGGACTGTTCAGTATATGAATGTAGGACGTAGAATGGAGGCATTTCAGTTGACAAGAAGCAAGATGTTGGTGAACTTTTGAAAAATTCACATATGAAATTCCTTGATTATACTAGTTCAGTATAATGCTACCATGTTAGAATTGTATTAGTGTAGATCTCTGTTGTCCCGTGCAGTAGTATCTAATTATGTATGACTATTTAATTAAATCTATATACAATTATAAATTCAGTTCCTTATACTGGTCACCTTTCAGTGGCCACATAAAGCTTGGTTAGTGCAGCTAGAGAACTTTTTTTTTTTGGTACTGGGGATTTAGCCCAGGGGTGCTTAATCACTGAGCCACATCCCCATCCCTTTTTATTTTGTATTTTGAGCCAGGGTCTTGCTAAGTTGCTTAGGACCTTACTAAGTTGCTGAGACTGTCCTTAAACTTATCTTTCTGTCTCAGATTCCCGAGTTGTGCCACCACACTTTGTATCAAAACAACAAACAAATTTTTATTTCATTGCAAAAAGTTGTTTTTTTTTTTAATCAGCATCTAGATTTTTATTAGAGGTGTTATTAAAGGGTAATATAGCAATGTTTTTTTTTTTAATTTTCAGATGAAAGGTCATGCAGGAATTTGTGTTGAAATTTAACAAGAGTTAATAAAAATAAAATTTCACAGTGATGTAGGCTACTTATCTTGAGATATTGATGATTAATAATAAAATAATAATAAACAAGAAGCAAAAGTTGTTCTCAGTGTTATTGTGCATGATTTTATACAGCAAAATGCCCACTTTTACTGTTAGACATTGTTCAACATTCATTCAATGTTCTTGGGAGCAAAATACTGTAGAAATTCTAATGTATATATACATAAATACACAATTTTCTAATTTTGTTTCTTGGCTTGCTTTTGATGTCCTTAAACTTGTTCATCTGTTCTCTCTATATTCCCTGTTAACAGAAATTGGGTTCAAAAACTTGATTTGGGTTGGGATTACACAATTTTTGGTAAGCACACTTTGTAGGTGATTTTTTTGATATTGAATTTTTGTTTCCTTTTGTGATAGTTAATGTGTTTTATATAGTGATTACTGGTTTATAAAATGCTTTCTCACACAATTTTATCCAGTAATATTCTTAATACCTTGTGATGTAGGTTAATACTATACTTACTGTGCAAACATTAGTTTTTTTTTGTTGTTGTTGTTTATTTGTTGTTTTTGGTACCAGGGAGTGAACCTAGGAGTGCTTAATATCTGGGAGCAACATCCCCAGCCCTTTTTATGTTTTATTTAGAGACAGAGTCTCACTGAGTTGCTTAGGGCCTTGCAAAAGAGCTGAGGCTGGCTTTGAACTTGTGATCCTCTTGCCTCAGCCTCCTGAGCTTCTGGGATTATAGGTGTGCACCATTGCACCCAGCTTAAATATTAGTTTTTAGTTAGACTTTGCTTGTAAAGTTCTACATTTCTGCTGGCTATTAAAACTGAAAAGGGAGAATACTTTTTTCCTACTGTCTTATGAGGTTTGGATTTTAAAAGAGATAATGCTTTCAAAATAATAATAAACAAGAAGTCAAAGTTGTTCTAAGTGTATTGTGCATGATTTTATACAGGAAAATGTCCACTTTTACTGTTAAATAATTCTCCCTTTGAAAAAATTAGTTCAAAATTATATCAGTAAGTGAATAAAAAACTCAGTCCTGTGACTCTAAACGTTATACAACTACCACTCAGAGCTTCTGTGCAGTGCGAATAATTAGTATACTAAGTTCATATAATTCTAGTATTTTGATCTTTTATACTGTGTTATTTTAAGTAAATTTATAATTTCTTTAAGAGTTTTGCATTGCTTTTTTTTTTTTTAGTTGTAGATGGACAACAGTACCTTTATTTTGTTTTTGTGTGATGCTGAGGATTGAACCCAATGCTCCACCACTGAGTTATAACCCTAGCCCTTGTTATGCTTTTAACTGATTCTAAAATACTGTAAAATATTTAACTTTCTTCTTTTTAAATATTCAGACTAGAGGATATCTAAGAGTCTTTCTAGTTCTTGATTTCTTACTTCTTTTTAATGTTTTGTTTTGGTTAGGAAGTCAGTTAAAACCACTTCAGAGATTTATATTCTCAGCCTGGATTTTAATGGTGAAGATGTAAAATATTGGTAACAGCTCATATCTGCAGGATTCATAATGATATTGCCTATTTTTAGGAACCTATTGTATGTTATTGTGCTAGGCATTTTATTATACTCAATTCTTGGAACAATTCACAATAAGAGGCGAGTTATCAGAGGTTAAGTACCATGCTTATACATGTAACTAATTGGTAATGAATGAATTGAGATAGATTTGAACCCAAGACTGCCTTTAGAAATGTAAAATGCTTTTGACTTTTATATTGTGCCCCCCCCCCGTGGTGCTGGGGATTGAACCCAGAGCCTTGCAAGGTCTTTACCAGCTGACCTATTTCCCCATCCTGGGCCTGGCATATTTTGATATGATTTTGACATATGCAATATTCACTATTGAAGTACATTGTGAGATTGGATTTATTTTTTTAGTTAGAGTAAACATTTTTTTTAGCATTGTATAGTTTAATTGGAAACGTCAATAATTTGAATTTTTCTTTTCCTTTCCTCATCTCTAGATATTCAAGAATTTTATGAAGTGACCTTATTGGATAATCCAAAATGTATAGATCGTTCAAAGCAGTCTGAACCAGTTCAGCCTCTGAATACCTGGGAAATTTCCAGCCTTCCAAGCACTACTGTGACTTCAGAAACACTGCCAAGCAGCCTTAGCCCTAGTGTAGAGGTAAGATAAATTTTTCTGAAACTGTTTTCTTTGAATTACCAAGTTTTTTTTCCTTCATTTGATTAAGATGAATATTTTGTGGAAATATTTATAATGGAATAAATGGAGTTAAAAGTATTTTTGAAAAGAAAAGTGCAGAATATCTATTGCTTCTGTCTTAAAATGTTAAGAGTGATTTGAGGCCTAAAATACTTACTTTAGACTAATGCCAAGTATTTTGTATTATGGACGTCAAGGAGGTTTTATTTGTGTGATAATTTAGATGGAAATTGTACTTTGAAAAGGTGGTTTTGCTCTGGTGTTCTCCCCTAGAAATAGATTATAGTTTTGTGGTTCTGAGCCCTTTAGTTATTCCAAGGATTCTCTTCCTCAGCTTGGAGGGAATTGCATTAAAACTCACTAGAGACTGACAGTCCTTAAGGTCAGAATTGGTTTCTGCATTTTTCTGTAATTAAAATCATCTGGATTTTTAAAAAAAATATTTAGTTTTTGGTTATAGGTGGACACATTGTCTTTATTTTACTTCATGTGGTGCTGAGGATCGAACCCAGTTCCTCATGCATGCTAAGTACTGAGGATAGAACCCAGTGCCTCATGCATGCTAGGCTAACCCTCTACCTGTGAGCCACAACTCCAGTCTTAAAGCCATCTGGATTTTGATAACAATGTCAGTGACATTCTTTTGTTGTGGTGCTATACTGTTGTTAGTACATTGGATATGGTATGACAGAGATATGAAGCATTTTGTAACGAGGATTCTGCCTGAGAAACATTAGTAATTTGAAAGTGGTTGTCTCTCTAAATTTGATTCTAGTCTCTCTGGTTAGTACAATACAGTGCCTGGAAAATTTAATCAACTTCTGTTTGGTGAGTAATAAGTCAGGGAAAAATGGTGGTGGGCAGAAACTAGATGGCACTTTGGTAATGAAATAGAGTTTCTCAGTTTTTGCTTTTATATTAAGTAACAGAACTCTAGAATTCTAGAGTAGGATGAATCAGACAGAGCACATCTGATTTTAACGATGAGAAAAGAGATCCAGAAGAAAATGATTTTACCCAGCTGATTCAGCTAGTTTGTGCAACTCTATCTTTGGATTTTAGACCTCCCAATTTACAGTTCTTAGTAATCCTGATATGACCTTACATTTTTCTCTTTAATCTGATTAGAGATTCTCATGTTAAATTGTGCATGTATCATTAATTTCTTACTCTTATTTAAATGTTTTTTTATTATTTTCTCTTGGATAATTTCCGTTACCATTCCTTTCTTTAGTTGATATATCATTTGTTTTAATGATAATTAATTTCCGTGGCCTGTTTCAAATGAAAATTTTAAATGTCTGTAATCAGTTATTGGTTGTGCTTCAAATGTGTTGTTTTCAAAATTCAAATGTTGCCAATGTGATAGTATTAAGAGGTGGATCCTTTAAGAGGTGATTAGTTCCTGGGATTTCTCCCTCCTTAATGGGATTGAGGACCTTATAAAAGAGGCTTCACACAGGTTTTAGCTCTGCTCTCTGAAATGTGAGGATGAAGCAAGAAGACCCTACCAGACCAACTACCTCTTAGACTTCTCAGCTTTAGAACTCTAAAAATATTATATATATATATATATATATATATATATATATTATAAATTACTCATTCTCAGGTCTTCTGTTATAGCAGCACAAAACGGCTGACCATTAAACATATTTCTGTTTCACATTGTCTTAGTCCTAGGTTAAAAACTTGTTATAAAAAATTTTAAATTTCAAGAGCATTAACTTTTATATTTACTTAGTATATTTTTTGTTATTGTCTGTTTAATGATATCAACCTGTGATTAGGAAACAAAAGTTCTTGCAGTCAATTTGCACATTTTGATAGGTTGTTTAGATAATGACTATCTCAGTACAACCAGTGAAACTAAATATTCACTAAGGTATAACAAATGGATAGTTTTGTAAGCTGGAAGTTTATTTCTATATAGATTTTAGTAAGAAAAATCAACAGTGTATTGAGTTTTATAACAAATGGTATTAGTGGACCAAAGATGGGGTTCAATGATAGAGCACTTGGTAAGCATGCACAAGTGTTGATCCCCAACACTGCAATGAAAAAAAGATATTACAAACATTTCAATTTCTATAAAATTGTGAAGCACTCTTACCTATGTGCAGCCTTCATTTCTGCACCTCCTGAAAGATATTTTCTGGACATGACAAAGGCAATTCAAATTATTGGAGAAATGAGAACTTACAGATAATGAGTGTCATATCTTATTAGTTTGGAGAATAGATGAAAAGGAAATACAGATTACAACATGTTGCTTTAAGGCTTGGCACATGGGAAATGCCTTAGTAATGTTTGACATCTGTACCCATTCATAGATGAACTTTAAGGGAAGCATTGGAGTGTGTTCATCAATCCTAGATTTTTAAAAAGAAGGAATAATACCTGTGTGTCAAATATGAGCAAGCTAAGATCAATTACTACAAAGTACTGTTATTACAGAGATGACAGAATACCTGAAAAATGAAAGTCTGAAAATGTAACATGTTTGAAATTTGTCTAGGTGATGATTGATTTGATCTCTTATTTCAGTGTTGGGAAAGACTTTAATTCATTGGCCCAAGTTAGAACAAATGCAAAAAAACCCAAAACTATCTTGCTGACATAAAATTTAGGTTATTATTCTACTTGTGCACTAAATTCTTGGATAACACAGTTAAATTTCTGACAAAATGGAATTCTAAATTTTTTTAGTTTTTGCTTTGTAATGCTTAGAAAAGCTTTCCTTATTCAAAAATTATTTTAAAATTATTTTTAGTTTCTTTTTATTAAACTTCTGCAACATGGTCTTATCTTTTTTGCTTCACATTTGCCTTCACAGGATTATCATTTAGTTTTTCAAAAAGTACTGGAGATTGATCAGTTTTTAGAAAGACTTGCCTCTTATAGTGATGCAAATCTTTGCATTTTAAAACTATATCAAGTTTTCTTCATTTGTTTTAATAGTTGGTAACTGATTTCACTCTCATCAGCTCCTCATTTGTCAGTTACATTTTGACATTGTAACTTTGTTTCTTCTATTCTAATGTAATAAAATTAAAATTAATACTATTTATTTTAATAACATGATGAGTATCCCATTTTCTTAAAGTTTTGTGGGTTTTTTGGGTTTTTTTTTTGTTATATCTTTTCATAGAAGATATGGCTCACTAAATGTTTGAGATAATGTTTGCTTAATGCCTATTTTAGGGTGATGGGATTATTTCTTTTTTTGTACTTTTTGCTATTTTTAAAAATAATTAGCATGTCTCATTTTTATAAAAGCAGTTCTATTCTAAGTGAATTAGTAGATTAAGAAATAGAGAATAAGGAATAGTTATGAGACTGAAAAAAAGCAAGATATAAAAGTAGGAGAAATTGTCTAATTTAATGGGGTAGTCTAAAAGAAAAGAATGTATTCTGTTCCTGATTCCATAATACATTTTAAGTGGAATAGTTATTCAAAGTTTAATAAAAAGAAACTAAAAATAATTAAAAAATAATTTTTGAATAAGGAAAGCTTTTCTAAGCATTACAAAGCAAAAACTGAAAAAATTTAGAATTCTGACTGTAGAATTTCTTTGTGGACTTGAACTAGTTCTTTAAATTTTAATTGTAGAACTTTAAGCTTTTCTAAGCATTACAAAGCAAAAACTAAAAAATTTAGAATTCTGACTGTAGAATTTCTTTGTGGACTTCAACTAGTTGTTTAAATTTTAATTGTAGAACTTTTGTATCTCGAAAGATGTAATACATAAAAGAGATGATACAGTAGGAAGAGAATTTATCACATAAATGAAAAAGGGCAAATTTTCTTAATTTCCAACCATCTCAACCCAAGAAACCTCTTAAACATCACTAAGAAAAAAGCCATCATTCAATAGGATTTGTGACCAAAGGATGTGAACCATCAGTTTGTTGAAAAACTATACCTGGGCCAATAACCTGTGAAGAGATGTACAACCTCACTTTTAAAAGTACAAATTAAATTGTCAATAAGAATATTCTTAAATAATTTAATTATCAAACATTAAATGTGAGGAAATAAGCTCTTATGGTTTGTAGGGGAGAGTATAGTGGTGTGATCATTTGAGAAACAACAGTACCCATATTCTTGGATCCAGCATGTGCTACAGATTTACTCACAAAAATTATTAAGGATACATGTATAGGGATGTTCATTGTATCATTCTATGTAATATTCATAAAAATCAATAAGGAAACAATATAAATGAGTATCAGTAAGACATTAGACAAAAACATGGTATTTAATACAGAATTGATGTGAATATAAATTTTATGTATTTGGTTTTTGACTTGATGATTTAACTTAGAATTTTTTGGCTTTGTGATAGTGTGAAAATGGTAAACATTCAGTGGAAGCCATCCTTCAAATTTTGAATTTTGATCTTTTCCTGGGCTAGTGGCATGCTATCTGATACATTCTTGTGGTGCTGGGCAGCAGCAGCCAACTACAGCCCCTAGTCAGCCATGTGATCACATGGGTGAAAACAGATACTCTGCAGAGTACTGCATGGCTAAGCTGTGATGTTCAGTAGACCAGGTATTAAATGCATTTTCACTTTTTCATCATATCTCCCCCCCAAACCCCAGCCCAGTATTAGAAATTGAACTTGGAGACATTTCACTGAGATGCCTCCTCAGCCCTTTTGTATTTTTTTTTTTTCAAGACAGGATCACTCAAAATTGTGAAATCTGGCCTTAAATTTGAGATTCTCCTACCTCAGTCTCTCAAATTGCTGAGATTACAGGTGTGAACCATGACACCTGGCCACCTTACCATAATTTGAATTTGCAATGGGTTTATTTTCAGTTGAAGAGCATTAATATTTGTCAAATGTAAGCCTGTTACATGTCAGGAGGTATATAGAATGACTCTGTTAAAAGAAAAGGTATGTCCGAAAGAATACACACTTGGTCTGCCTTCAGTTCTATTTTTGCTTTAG